TCTACTTGGGCTCCCTAACTCTAGTCGCCAAGACCACCGGAGAAGAAGAAGAGTGGCCAAAAAGCAAACTAGCCACTGGAGGAAAGCCGACATCACCGTGCCAGAACATTAAAACGCTATGGTGAACTTGAAATTCTTTTCCGTTTATTCCATTTCTCAGTCGTAGGCCATCTAACATGCTTTTCAGTGCATGGTAGTTAAAGAAAATTCACGACTGCGAGGAAAAAGCAACGAAGCTCGGTGGAGCCATCGCACCAGAGAGCCAGAACCACCGGTAAGCTTCAGTTTTCTTTATTTTTTCACTAATAGGCGCTGCCTAACCACGAATTGAGCAGGTTTTCACCCAAAATTGGTCGAAACTAGCATGAACGAGAGAAAGAGCCATCGTAGAAGGCAGAACCGACAGCGGAGCATGGAGGCGCCGCCGTGTCGGAACCTTAAACCGGCCACCTGTGAGATTTTTTGCCCTTTTTGGCCATTTTTTGCATATTTTCATGTTATTTGACAAAATTTTTGATTTTAACAGAAAAAGTTCAAGAAATTAAAGAAATAGGAACCACCATCAAATATAATGAAAAATGCGGTGTTTCGAACACCGACTTAGGGTAAGAATCCCTCACAATTTCTCTTTTTACAGTTAAATTAAAGTCAAATTAATAATAAACGGAGAATTATAAATAGTTAGCGATCCCATGATTAATTAAATATAGGTTGTCGATGGAGCTAGTAACCTGTTAGTTTATAATTATTCCTAATTTATCTGTATTGTCTATTTCCTTAATTGTTTACCGTTACTTCATTTCTATCTTAGTGTACTTTAATTTATTTTTATTTTTCTTATCTATTCAGTTTACTTAAATCATTGTTATTTTTATTCTGTTATATTAGTTTACAACAAATGCCTTAATTATGTTTCTTGAAACGATGAGTTATAATTTATATCACTGCATTAACTGAATGTTCATTTTTTTATAATTGCGAAATATGAGTTATGCACGTATTTAGTGACTAGATAGTAATAGAAACTTGTATGTATAAGCAATATTGTTAAATTAAAGGGCTTATCGGGTGTCATGAAAAAGGTATACGGACCTGATACATGAGACAAACCCTACTGTGGATGATACCCTCAGTCGAACGAGACTAAAAAGTTTCATACCGGAAGGAGTTGAGAATCAGTTTTATTATGCTTATTACCAAACGAGGTATAGAGGTAGTGGTATGTTTGATGCTTATTACCAGACGGGGTATGGGGATGACCGTTTGATTAATTGAATGAATGTTTGGTCCACGTGTAGTGGAGACCCCTATAGACCACCAACGACATCAATATATAGGTAAAAAAAGTAAAGATTAATTATTGTTGGTCTTTTAGATTGTATAATGCGAATTACTATTCTGATCCTTATCTTTATAAATGACATTTGAGAATTTGTAAGTGAATGATGAATAAATGTTTTCAGTTAAATAAATTTATTTAAGAAAAAAAATAAGTTTCATTAGTTATTTTACGATTTCTACAAACCTTTAATTTTTCATATCAATAGTAAAACATTGATATTCTTACTAAACTAGAGTAGCTTGTTCTTTTATTATTAATCATTTTAGATCAGGACAACTAAAATTTGGATCCTGAACAATAAGAAAACTAGCTAGAAGGTTGTCTCTCATTTATCTAGTCACGCACCAAATGTTGATTACATATGTTTCTGAATTACACTTTTTCATTTATGTTCTTTAAGGACATTCTCATAACCTTATTTGGCATTTTTATCAAATTATGCAAGGAATGTAACCGTAAATCCTAAACTGTTTCTATAAATTAATAAATTTTAATATTATTTTATTTCTCTATTTCTGTCCTTTTAAAATTAGTATCAAAGTCACGTTCTTCGGAACTTGGTGCTGCCATAGGGTCACCCGGTTCCTCCCCAACATAATCTAATTCCCCTTCAACAGGACCCAATTCCACACATGATAGACCCGGACTACATGGAGATGTATAAGAGACTCAATCCATCCACTTTTATATGGACATCCACTTTTGAAGAAGCTAAATACTAGTTAGCAGAGATAGAGAAGGCCCTCACAACCCTTAGAGTAGTCCCCAAACAGAAGGTTGTTCTTACCACTTACATGCTCTAGGTGAGGCAGTGTGTTGGCGGCAACTGAAGCAGGCTACTCTACCCACTATAGTCACCTGGGAATAGTTTCTGACAGCCTTCAATGTTGAATACCTTACAGAACACCTTCGACATATGAAGGAGATGTAGTTTGTATACCTGATCCATAAAAAAATTGTTAGTATCAGAATATGCTCGAAAATTCCTAAAGTTAGGCCAGTACTCTCCTAAGAGTATGACAGATAAAGATAAGAAGGCAAGAAGGTTTGACTAGGGTCTCTGTCATGAGATCAGACATATCGGAATGGGTTAGGAATTGATTTTGTTACGTTCATTACCGGACGAGATATAAAGACCACCATGTTTGACGCCCATTATTGTAAGGGCTATGAGGACGGTCGTTTGATAATTATATGAATGTTTGGTCCGCATGTAGTGGAGACCCCTATGGACCCCCAACGACATCGGTAAGTAGGTAAAAATGGTAAATATTAATTACTGTTGGTTTTTTAGAATGCAAAATGCAAATTACTATTCTGATCATTATCTTCATAAATGGCATTTGGGAATTTATAGGTGAGTGAGAAATAAATATTTTTAGTTAAATGAATTTACTTAAGAAAAAAAAAATGTGTTCCATTCGTTATTTTACAATTTTTATAAACCTTTGATTTTCT